AGATTACATGGTTGAATTTTCAAAATTTAGTGCATCTTAGTAGTGAATGCCCTGTGAAGTGACAGAAGGGGAAACAGCAAAACACCAGCAAGTTACTGCATATCTGAAATGCAATTAACTTTGGGGAAAAGATAATGTGCATATCAAAAAACACTGCTAGTGCTAAATATTGTAAATTGATGTCTGTAGTATTACAGTATCGGTAGTTGTGCGAGATGACATGTTTTGTGAACAGCTCTTGGACCACATGGTGACTTTTTTGAGTAACTGGTAGCTATGTTTTTAATAGTCCCAGAATTTGGGGCACACCCAACATGCCACTTGTATTTTAAATTTTAAATTATTTTAATTAAATTATTTTAATTTTAAATTATTTATAGTCTAACACTTGAAATTTGCCATCTAAACATGTAAAGGGCCATGACACTTTGTTCTGTTATTTTAACGGTTCACATGATTCATGCAGTAAAGCTTAAAAACTTATTGTTTTCTTCTAGAAGAATCAACCCAGATGACCTAAGCAGCAGCAGCAGCAGAGAACAAATTAAAGGAAATAATATTAAATATTCATTTATGAAGTGGTTTTAGCAACTCTGAAAAAAATACTGTAGCTCTTGACTGTATCTAAATGAATAACTTGGTCAAGCCCTGCACAGAATCACAGAACAGTTGAGGTTGAAAGGGACCTTAAGGAATCATCTATTCCAAGCAGGGTCATGTACAGCAGGTTGCCCAGGACCCCAGCCAAAAGGCTTTTGAATATCTCCAAGGATGGAGACTCCACAACCTCTCTGGGCAACCTCCTCTAGTGCTGAGATACCCTCCCTATAAAGGTTTTCCTTAAATTCAAATAGAACTTCTTGTGTTTCAGTTTGTGCCCCACAAGAAACAGTTCATCCCTCTAAATAACTATGAACAATAAAATTGTTCAACTGTTGCCTGCTGAGTTTCATGCCTCTGCATGCTTCATACTGTTTTCTTACAAAAATATCACTATTCAGCCAAGAATTGCTGCCTCCAGCTGGAGAAAAATCCATGTTGCTCCTGCGTAAGGCAACATTTCCTTTTCATACATAGCTGCAGCCTGATTTGGACTTTGATGCTTTGCAAAGGAGCTCTTCTCCCTGAAATCTAATACAGTAAGAACTAGGAGCTAATGCAGGGAAAGGAAAATGGGACAGAGGAGATTGGTGAACACAGCTTGTTTTGTAGACTGGATGTGGCTAATCGTGAGAAATTGAATTTAGGTAAACACCTATAGTAGAAATATCAATGGATACCAACTTACATACTTTTTTACATCTCATAGCTCTTGCATACTGTGTCCTTTATTTTCTTGACTCTGGCTGCCTATAAGAGCATAAGGCCGCATAGCTCTCCGGGACTACTCACATGCACCTCACATGCTGATAGACAGCATTGGGACTTCAGCCATTACCAACCTAAGGCATGCAATGATTCTTTTGAAACACACTCTACGTCTTATCTTATCCTTCAATTAATTTCGAGACTGCCAGAAATTTCACTCTCTGGGTACAACTTATCATTGTCCAAGTAATGTCAGAGTAATACACGTACATAAGTATTCTTTCAACTTCAGATGGCATTTAGAAGAAAATAAGCATATAATCAGTCAGAAGTGTGAAGCAAATGTGACATGGCCAACAGTGTCAAATCATGATGCTGGCTGAGAAGGAGACTAGCTTAATTCTTTGCAGACTCAACAGCAGTGAATGTCTTACCAGCTGGTTGCAGTTTCACTAACAATCTTTTTACCTCTTTTGTCAAACCACCAGTTTTGCAGAAACTGTCAATTTCAATGCAGTGCCCTTCAGGAAAGGTTTCTCAGGGTAGTAGTATGTAGGCAATTACATTAAATGTGAGAAATCCAACACCAACTCTAGACTCTTAATCATCACTTGGCCATTCTAATAGTTATTCAACAGACTGTCTCTTGCATGCTGCTTGGTCAATAGTAGGATTTTTTGTTTAAATTTAGGCAGCTGAGCTTCTGTGCTGTTTTAAATTCAATTAAACATTCTAGGTTGCATATATTGGCTATGCACTTTGGAAGGGCCTCTCCTTATTTTTCAAGAGAAAGGTTTCATCAGATGTTTCATCAGTAATGCACTTACTTACGTACACAAATTACTAAAACTCAATGAGTTAAATAACATCTCCCAGTTAATAGTAATGGATGCTGAAAGAACTTGATCCAGGAGGAATGACTGGCTGAAATGACCAAAAGCCTCATCCTAAGGAAGTAGGAAAACTTCCTGATGGGTTCTAGGCTGAGTACAAGTGACAAAAATGAGAAAGATAAAGCAAATACATGGAGTAGTAAAAATCAAAAGGAATTAATATATCTATCATGCCTGAAGATCTTCAGTCTGTCCATATATGGTTGTCAGAGGGAAATCTGATGGCATAGGGAGCAAAGTATGTGGAAATATTGATGAAAAATAGCTTCCTACTAATAAAGCTCAATAGGCACACAGATTAACTTCCCGATCAGCAATTAGAAAATGGCATAAACTAAAATTAAAAATAAGTAAATATCTCTTCAATACAAATGTTGTTAATTGATTTGATAAAGACAGGTTAATTTTCCCTGGATTCATGTTATATCTGTCAATATTTCAACCTCGCAGCCATAGGTGTTACAGCAGTCTTTCTCCTTGGTAATGCTCTGATACCACTGGCAGGTAATACAACATTAAGTTGTTGAGCATCTATAAAGAAATGCATCAATCTTTCAGATGTCCCAGGAGCCCTGTATTTAATAAAAGACTTCCTTTAGGAGTGAGGTGTTTAAAACAAAACGCACTTCCTAAAAGAACCTGAAATAATAAACATCCTGCCTTTGGCTGCTTCTGTACAAAGCCTCTACTGCTCCTTTCACCGGGGGCAGAGCCTCCCCCAAAACATTAGCACTTCAGTTTTCCTGATTGCTCAAAGACACAGTCTCCAAATGCCCATGCATCGGAGAGGCAGCTGTGGCTCTCAGCTCCCGGGAAAACGCCTGCGGCAGCGGGATCCGTGGGGGCAGAGCTCCCCAGCGCAGGCACCGCAGCACGGATGTGCAGAGCCGCCCCGCTCCCGTCCCCGCGTCCTCCCCAGGGCGAGCGCACAACAAAGCGCTGCTCACGGAGCCACGCGAGGCAGCGCAGGCAGCGCTTGCTCCGCCGGCCCCGCAGGGATGGCCTGGCGGGAGCCAGGGCATGGGCCGCAGGAGCTGCCTCGCTCACACGCTTCAGCTCTTAGCACAGCACAAGGGGCTAATCCCTGGGTGCTGCCGAGTCGTCCTGCACATCTGTCACCTCCTGGTCTGCGAGAAGCAACGACGGGGTGGGCAATGCAAGGAGAAAATCGGGTGCACGTTTCCTCTGATCCAGTTTGAACTGGAAATATTTTGCCCTAGAAATCATACTCTCGGCAGTGGTGGGTCCGTGAATATCTCCCTGAATATGGGGAGTAACTGCAGAGAATGATTTCTGTAATTATTTCTACACCACACATCAGAGACCAAGTCCTGCCTGTGCTTCCTCCGCTGTGCAAGTATCCTGGCAACAGAGCCAGGGCTGATGCTTTACGC